GGCTGCAGTGGCGCCGCTCCGCGGCCGGAACCGCAAGCTGTGATGTGCAGCGTCGCCGGTAGGTGGCAGCGCCGCTCGCTCACTCGGCCGTTGACACGGTCTTTCAGTGTTACTCATGAACGTAGGTGTATGCGCGCGCGCGTGTATGTGTGCGAGTGGTGGCGACTTGTCTCAGTGACGTCATATGACGTCACACACGTATCTCGCCCGTCCACAGTTCGCCAGTCTGGACCATGCTAGAGCAACTCTGACCTCATATCGCGATGACGTCACTCCATGTCACGTGACTCCGCTGTGTCGTCGTGTCGGGTCATTCGGTAATTTGATCGGTACATACTTGCCCACCTCCTGGGTCGCCGGCCGGCCCCCGACCCCTCGAAAGGGTCCAGAGTCCGGCAGGAACAGTTCCTATTTGGTTGTGCATGCGTTTTGGTTGCGTCAGGGGTCGCTCCGGCTCTCGGGGGTTCTCTCCAGACCAGTCGGCGCCCCACCCGTGAGAACCTTTGGTACATTGCAGCGCGAAATACATACACTGAGGGATGCGAACGGCTTGGTTTGAGTTTTTAGTCGGTTTGGTATCGATAACGTCTGCTGAATGCTGATACTGGTCTGATATGCTGATAGACTGTTGATGGCTGACGCCGTTTTCGGTCTAGCGTAGTTTCGATCGGACTAATGCATCTTCTGATGTCGGAGACTAACAGAAAGCTCACACTTAACGTCTCGGTCTGCACTGACGGAGCAGAGCTTACAAATGATCATATATCAATACAGAGCCTACAATTATCGCGCTGCGAAGGTCTGGCCAGCGACAACGCAATGCAGTGCTGGTTCCTCAACGCTAGCAATGGGGAAAAAAATTAGAAAGGACTAGAGATGTCAATCGGATACCCACTTTTTGGTATACCGATACCAAACCGATACCAACTCGGTATTTGGTATTTCAATCCTAATGTGTTTGGTATTTTGTTGGTATCATGAACCCTCGCTAATTACGGAGCGAGCGAAGCGAGCGTAGTCTTTCCTTAGATTAACCCGCGCATGACTGGGGGGGGGGGGGCTCTACAGAGCCCCCCTCATGTTTTTCAGCAATATCTTCTAAACCGTTTGACGGATCAACACGAAACTGGCGGTACCCTCAGAGGCATCAATTTGACACCTTGTGTTAAAATTTCAACTTTCTAGCTACCATAGTTTAGCCGGGAATGACGTCAGAGTGACGTCATGTCGGCCGATTTTCATGCAAAATACTGAAATACGGCAAACGCTCTCAAGAGCTCAGTTTTAAAGCTAGATCCATTTTCTTTGCATGTGTGGACTAAAAATACACGTAGCTATCGAACTGCTATCTCGAATTTTCGAAATTTTGAAAATTTTGAAAAATATTTATTTACAACTACAAAAATATATTTTTTGATTTTTTTTTTCAAAAAGTTTTTTGAGTTTTCGCAAAAACCGGAACATATGTGATAGAACACACACTGATGAACTACATTTGCAAGTTTTAGCCCAATATCTTCAAAAATAGCCAAGTTATTCGCATTATTGACAAAATTTTACAATTTTATGTTTTTTCAAATCCATTTTTCAGTACGTTTTTGACGTCCTACAGCAATATAAATGGCACCATCGTCTTCCTGAACTCATGCCTCAAACTGCATCTGATAGGCACCTTTTTTGTTGAAAAATTTCATTTTCAAAATTTGACCTTTTCTGACCTGAAAGTGACCTGACCTCCGGTAAATTTAGCTGACAATGACCTCAAATGACACAGACGACACTATTTTCGAAATCTACGAGTAAAATGGACCATAAAACATGCGTCACGTGACCGATACATGATATACAATTTTCGTGACCTAGGATGACCTGGCCTTGACCTTAAAAATTCGAAGTAAAAGTTCGGTACCCTCAGGGTATCTAAGGCATCCGTCAAGGAGTGCGTAAACCAAAAATGAGCCTGATCGGACCGGCGGTCCGGCGGTCAGAGCCTAAATTGTGAACTAACAAAAATGTCGATAATTTTTACTTTGACCTGACCTGTGACGTCATCGGTGACCTCGACTTCAATGAAAATAGGTTTCGCTCGACAGTTTTTCCAGGGCTATCAGACGCCGTTTGAATTTTGACGATCGGCCCAGTAGTTTCGGAGATAGGAGGGGGGGGGCTCTGGAGAGACCCCCCCAGTCACTCGCGTTATGGAAAATACCCCAGTCATGCGCGGGCTAACAGAAATTTCTGAGTATGAGCGGCCGGCCGTGGTCACGCTTTTGCGAGGCTTATATCTCAGCAACCACTTGACCGATTTACACGCGGTAATTTTTGTAGGGTAGCTTCATTCCTTCTACCAAGTATTGGACTATTCCTGATGCATGTGAGTGACCCCTTATGCACGTGCCACGTGCAAAACGAAGAGGTGTCCGTTTTGTAGTTGTTGCAATATCTCGGTAACTACTTGGCCGATTGCGCTGAAAGTTGGCATGTAGGTAGGCACCCACTAGGCACTGCATATCCATGTGCCAGAGTTGGGGTGCTGCTGCACGTGCGCACGTGCAGGGGTCGTTTCCAGATCTCGAGACCGGCTCGACCGATTGCGCTCAAATTTGGTACACAGTTAGGGACCGGTTAGTAGGGTGCCGTGCACAAGTCAGTTGGGACCCATTTTGCACGTGCGCACGTGCAGGGTGCCGCTTCCAGATCTCGAGAACGGCTGGGCCGATTGTGCCCAAATTTGGCACGTCGCTAGAGACCGGTTAGTAGGGTGCCGTGCACAAGTCAGTTGGAGGTACCCCCTCGCAATTTCGCACGTGCAAGGCCCACCCTCTCGCTCGCTCCGTTAGTCGCCCCAAAAGGCGTTATACTGGTGTTTAAGAGGCTAAGAAATCGGTAAAAAGTTGGTATTTTCCTCATGTTCCCAAGTTGGTTTGGTTTCGGTATTTCTCCGCGGCTTTGGTTGGTATTTGGTTTGGTATCGGTATTTCAATTTTCCGTAATTGACATCACTAGAAAGGACGTATACAAAAAGTATTCGATTGCGTTTTCTGCGCTTTTTTAGCACAATTGGTCCACGGAATGTGGTGTCATTTGTCAGAAATTGTGAAAAAGCTGGACAACCTTCTGAAACAGAATAACCCCTAATGTGAACTTTGTTTTAACCCGAGTCCTGATTTTTATTACAATTTTGCAATCATGTTAAAATGAAGCACATGGGTCATGTGCTGTCTTTGCCCCCCCCCCCCTCGCTTCCCCGATTTCATTCCTTTGCTCCCCCGAATTCCGTGCCTGGCGCCGCCTCTGTCAGCCACTGCTGCCCGCCCCAGTCGCCGTGGCTGGCGCCGCCCGTGCGTCTGTCCTGCCCCTCGGGCGGCATTGGGTCGGCAGGAGCGAGGCTGGCCGTCGCGCCCGCGAGCTTTCGTCACCGGCGCTCGGCGTGTGCGGATGCTAGTTCAGAGTGGTGGCGGATTTGTGTTGCAATTCTGCGAATGTTTTTAAAGGTAAGCAATATTGTTCATCGATTAAGCGACAGTCATGTGCATCGTGTTGAGGTGCGTTTCGATAGCGTTTCGTTAGCGCTACAAACTGTGCGATGACTAGTTAACATTGCGCATCATTGCATAAACGAATGAGTAAAGGCATTGCTCGCATTGTTACGATGTTTTCTACAAATTAATTTATCAATGATTAACCCGTGCACGGCTGGGGGTCCTGGATTTCCACGCCCTGCTGGGGGGGTTGAACATCCCCCTTCTAACTCGGCTTCTGGGCCACGTAGCGATACGCGGAAGGCGGCGTTCGAAAGAGCGTCAAAAATAATGACGAAATCACTTCGGTCAATTTTTTGGTCAGGTCAAAGGTCAGGTCACCAGAGGTCATTGAAGGCAAAATTTCGCCGATTTTCAGGTCGAATGTCGACAATTTCCAAGAAGCCAACGCATAACTTGGGAACCAAAGTAGAGCTACTGCGCCGTGGAAAAGCGCATTCGATAGCCCTATTAACGCCCTTTCTGAATAATTCTCTCAGATTTGACCTAACGTCAACGGTTTTGCCTGCAGGGGGCAAAAACTGCAAAAATAGCCGATTTTTTTCGGAAACAGTTTTTCTGCAATAACTTTTGACCCAAGCCTTGTATGAGCTTACTTTTACCGACATCGTGTTCCTCTCGTCAAGACGCATCGAATGAACTATAACTTGACCTTGAACGGTCAACTTGAAAATTTGACCTCAGGTCAAGGTCATGACCTGACCGGAAAGGGTCATGTTGCATATTAGTCGATCCGTATCGTCGAGCTCAACACATTCAAGGCGTTTTCATCGCTCTAGCATGCCTCTATCAAAAGTTATTTGCGAAAAACTGTTAGATACCATTCGTGACCGTCACGAATGGTATCTAACAGTTTTTCGCCTAAGGCCTTTCTAACAGGCCTAAGATGACCTCAGGGCATAAACAAGGGTCACGGACACCATTTTCATGTTCAGTGTGTCTAAACCACTTGTAATTCGGTGTTTGGGAGTGTTTTTAGGATGTCTTTCGTCCAAAAGAGGCGCATTTCAATTTTCCCCCATTGACTTATAATGGGGAGGTCGCAAAATTGACCTGACCTTAGGTCATCGATATCAAAATTCTGAGATGTGCATTTTGTACATGTTATTGCTCTTAGCAATCGCTGAAAGTTTCAAAGCGATCGGTCACTCGGTGTAGCTATGGCAGACATTGAAACTTTTTATGAGGTGAGGTCACTTCAAGTGACCTGGTGACCTGACCTTGAATGACCTTTATTCTGAAATTTTCACAACATGTGTAGAATTAATGTATGATAAGGTGTGTCAAAAGGGTGTTTCGGCATTATTTTGATCCTGCCGCTCGTAATGGTAGTGCGTATGACACCATGAGTGCACCAATATATTTTATGCTTCATTTATTGATTATATTCGATAATTCTTTCTTTCAGATCCACCGCGAGAAAGAGACGCTGCTTCAACACATCACCGGCATCAACTACAAGCCGGCTCTAAGACGCCGATTTATCGGGTGAGTCGGTGCACCGAGGGAGCACGGTCTGTTGTGACATAAAACAGAACGGTGCAGATTCAGCCAATACTTTTATAGTTGTAACTAACTTTGTATATTTTATCGTGCATAAAGGGCAGAGTAGCACAACAATTCACTTTCGTTCGCTTCCTATGTTCACACGGCAAGGATGTAAAATCACCGACAGCATTTGCTCGCTAACAGTGTCCCAAAATTTGCAAGTTTGGGTGGGAAGCGACACCCAAATGAAAATAATTTTCCACTCTCACCTCCAATTTTCCAGAGCGATTTTCACTCCCTGTTTTACCAATCGGAAGCATCCGCGTGTACCTTTTACCTCTCTCCATATTTTATTAAATCATCCTATAATGCAGGTCCCCAGGCCCAGAGCACCCTGTAACATTCACAAATAAATTGTGGATCCCTGTTTTCAACTCTTTTTAGTGCCTTTCTGGCTGGCAATTTTCCACTCTCAGCCCTCTTTGTATTGACGAATATTCCCCTCCGACACCCAAGCCAAAATATATTTTTGGGACACTGCTCGCTAAGGATACCCAATAAATCGTTGCCACCGCTCCCAGCGGGTGACAAGGTTTCCTTCTGTCGTTTCAGTGTATGGCGACGCTCGAGACCAATGGTGTCTGGTCCGCCAGTCAGCATGAGCAGACTCTGAACGGTAAGTGCGTGCTGAGCACTGGATTTGGACTGGTGGTGAACGGTTTGTTATCGTTGTCCGTTTGATTTTCGGTCACCCAAAGACTAAAAGTAAATAAATTGCTTTAGTAGGAGATATGTCAAATAATTTTTGCGGCTTATTCGACTTTTGAACTTTTAGTTGTGTGATGAAAGCAACATAGAAATTTTTATCGCGACCGTCTTTTTATATAGATGCTACAGTTACTCCCTGTTCCGACACTCGTGAATTCGTGATTTTCCATTTCAAATGGAAAAATACTAGGGTGACCCGCGTGCTCCGCAACGCGAAAAGGGATATTTTCGATCGGCGGGTGTTCGGTTGTTCTTGTGTCGGTTGGGTTATCTATCCCTTTCGGTCGATTGCTTTTTGACGGCTAAACGTTTTGGTTTGTGGAAAAAATATCCGCCGCATCGAGGTGCCCGTGTCTGATAAGCATGCTTTCCACTTCAGAATCTGTCAAATGTACTTTATAATTGAGGTGCGTAGTTTTAAGACAAATGAAAGGCGTAGATAATTTTCGCTAAAAATCGTTTTGCAGAGGTTTAAAACATTTATATTTTTAAGAATACTGTTGCTTGTCATGCAAACGTGATGATTGGATCTTGGAGAGAATTGAATGCTCTTTCTAATGATAGCATTTTCAATTGTCAAGCGTATCAGGTTAAGCAGCAAAATCCGTGTAATTATTTAGTGGCACATTTTGGACAAATACCATTTAATTCAGCGATTTTTTCCACATTGTTTTTGATCAATTAGCTGTTCACAATTTTTCCATGAGAGGCGGTACATTTCTCTTGCCAATTGACGTTGTTTCAACTCTCTCAGTCTGATGGTCACGGGAAAATAAAATTAAATCCAAAATCCGTTTAAAATGGCACTTTTTTAAATGAAATTGCCCTCACACTTGCACGTGGCGCGTGCCACCCCTGCACCGCACACCATTCGATAGCCTGTTCGATTCTCTACACGATGCTGTTTTCCCCGTGCCGATCGGGCGCACGGCTACCGAGATATTGCACGGGGAACGGACCCGTGTCGGGCAAATTTAGCCATTTTCGCCCGTTTTTGCCAGCCGATTTATACATGTAAAGTCTATGACGCGAATTTGCACTTTTTGGGCACGCGCCACGCGCTCGCTATCGATCCGATCGAGCTGAGACCCATCAAAGGCACGTTGTCCATCCTTGTTCTATGAGTTGCGCAAACTTCAGCGCGGTAGGTGCAACGGTGTGACCTGTAACCCGCGCTACGTAGCACCATGTCGCGACCCTCGTAATAGACAGAAACTACGTCACCACAAATAGTAATATAGACAAGCGGCTGCGCCACTTGCTTTGCTGCGTGGTAGAAAAAATTGCGGCACCAGCCAATTTGCTTTCGAATGGTGTGTGATTCATGTCGATGTGTTGTCTAGAAGCATAGATATGGACGGAAATGTGAAGAGAATTTAAAAAAAACACTGTTCTGAGAACGCTGTTGGATGAAATTTGGGTAATACGGGGTCAATACGGGTCAAAGGGGTCAGCCCCGGTCACTTTGGGTCAGGCCAGGTCACATAGGTCACCTCTCGTCTGCTGGGACAGCCCGGGCCACTGTTCTGCTTTTGCCTCCACCACTACCCCTATCCCTACCACTACCCCTAACACTACCCCTACCACTACCCCTACCACCACCCTTACCACTACCCCTACCACTACCCCTACCACTACCCCTACCAATACCCCTACCCCTACCACTACATCTACCCCTACCACTACTACTACCCATACTCCTACCCCTACCACTACCCCTACTACTACTCCTACCACTACCCCTACCCCTACCACTACCCCTACCACTACCCCTACCACTACCCCTACCACTGCCCCTACCCCTACCCCTACCCCTACCAACACCGCCGGGTCATGTCAGGTCACAGAATAATTGGATCCAATCAGTACTAAAATATCAGACTTGTGTTCCCAGCCCTGCCCCTATTCGTGCCATTCCATTACCCTTAATCGTATTTGTCGGAAATGGCGCTTACGCGCTTTGTGACAAATGTGGCGCATTGCAGCAAACGTGGCGCATTTTCACCCGGTGATTGATCATGCATCTTTGCACCAAATTGCGCCCATATCGGACCATATTTAACAAAACTGTTCGATTTGCGGCAAAAATGACGCCCTGATATAATTGTGGCGCATTGCGGCAAACGCGGTGAATTTGTAAAATCGTATCACAAACTGTTCCCATTGAATGAAAATCAACACATTCTCTAGCCACTTTTTATTCAAATTAAACACTTGCCCATCCGCCAATGCGAGGCACCCGCCACCGATCGGCATGCATTTAGTCCACAAAGTTTGTCGACCCCGGCTCTCAATGAAGATCTACGAACCGATCAAAATTTCATTGGCGTTCTTCCAGCGCGCGCCACGTGCCAACCGTGCACCCCAGCGAGTGGAAACCTAGAAAAGGCGTTGACCCGCTCTGTCACCTAGAGAGTGTGCAAATTTCAACCCCCTACGTCATACCGTCTGCCTTGTAGGCGAGGTCAATTGAACCCATTACACGGCGTGGCGGACACACAAACTCACAGACGGATTCTGTTAGAATAGTAAGTTAGATAAAACACGGGTCATGTTTTATTTCCTCGCCGTTCCGCTGTCTATGTCACGGAAGTAAGCATATTCGTAAGTAATCACACATCAGCAGTCACCCTTTCAGCGCCTATTGATGCCGTGCCATCTCTCCGACAGGTGCGGCAGTGCAGGAGGGAGTGTAGCGCCGGTATACAGCTACCACCAGACATCCGTCCACCGGCCAGTCACCACTGATCTACCAGCAAGATAAGTGTTTCTTTTATCGTAGCTCAAATAGTTCTATGATGTGAAATCAATTGAAATGCAACGTGAGCTTTCGGTAGTTTTAATTTGGCTTTCGCCTTTCAGCCCATTGTTACTTTTCGTTCTTATTTACCTCTATATTGCTTTTCTTATTTCGTTTTTCTTCATTCATTTATTCCTTTGTACTGTCATTTCAGGTTTACCTCGAACGAGAGATGTTGGGTTGGCGCTGCTACAAGCCACCGCCGCATCAAACTACACTAAAAAGATAAGTTGATTGATCCTTACTAGTCTTATTTGAAATGAATGAAATATGAGAGTGTCATGCAAATTGTGTGCCAAATCGATGTTAATTCCTTTGTACTGTTATTTCAGGTTCAGCTTACCAGAGAGCGATGGTGGCCCTGCTCCAACACACCACCGGGACCCGCCACAGGAGTCGGCCTTAAAGGTGGGTCGGTGCACCGAGGGCGCACTGTATCTGTTGTGTTTGTATGTTCGTGCCGGCCTTCCCCTTCCTCCTCTTGAACCGCCTCTGCCGTTACCCCGCCTGACGCCGCCCCTGCCGGACCTGCTCTGAGTCTGGGGCGGTTTACATATGCTGGCTCGCCCGCTGTCTGGAGCGAGCGGGCTACAGTTGCTTCCCTCTCGCTAATATACCTTTTTGCATTTGAATTCAACCATCCGCCATAACTGTTTGAGGAGCCATTTCGACAATCGGCATTGAGCACAACTATTCCGGCGTGGTGTGTTTCATTTCAGCCATTCAGCAAAACAGATTGAACACTGAAATGAGCGATCCGCAAAACAGTTTAACACTTCGCCAGAATTCGGCATTGAGTGAGCTCGCTCGGCATATGACGAATAGTTTCGACCATTGACGATTTGTTTGCACAATGTTGAACCATTTGTCCAATGTCGAGTTATACGGGAAGATCGCCGAATAGTTTTGCACAATGGTGATTCTTTGTGACCAACCGACCATTTGTAGCGCCACCTATATGGCGAATGTGTACAAATGTTTTGCCCAATGGTCAAAGGCTAACGCAAAAAGGTGTAGTAACAGTGGCATACTTCACCCGCGTATATGAGCTTTAACCGCATTTACCTGGCAAACAGAAAACCGATAGAAACAAAGCACAATCGATGCCCCATTGCGATTTTTTGTCCAGGACAGTTAACCCGACCTGACGGGGATTATAATAGGATATTTTCCATAACAATACTGCCTGACAGGAGGTTATTTCGAGTCTTTCTTAGGCTTGCAAAACTAATATTCTCTCTCTCTCTCTCTCTTTCTCTCTCTCTCTCTCTCTCTCTCTCTCTCTCTCGCTCTCTCGCTCTCTCGCTCTCTCGCTCTCTCGCTCTCTCGCTCTCTCGCCCTCTCGCTCTCTTGCTCTCTCGCTCTCTCGCTCTCGCTCTCGCTCTCGCACTCTCCTCCTCCCTCCCTTCCATCAGTTACCGTTAGTCACGTTCAAAATTCATTTAGGAGTGAGACTTTGACCTTGAGAGCGAGACTTTGAGAGAAAAGACATTGGAATGCACTGTAGTCCACCCCAGATATCACAAGTAATACTAAACCGCAATAGCATATCCGAGAAGACATTGTTTTACAAAAACTAGAGAACGAGAGCAACTTCCGCCACCAGCACCCATAGCATCGAATTTAGGCAGGGCCTAACTTATCAGGCAGGGCCTAACTTAACAAACATCACTGAAGTTGTAACCATTCACTGTAACTGCTTAGCCCTGTATAGCTCTCGAGTTCGGTGCCGCCTAAAAGTGTGAGATGCACATTTGGGACACATGCTACGGCTCATTAGTCATTGCTGAATGTCGTGCCACCATTGACCACTACTACTGACTCATCGTTCAAGGGGCTCCGCTTGCCCATTTGAAGTGAGCACAGTTGTGCAGATATCTGTGAGGATCTTGAGCTAGATGGATTATGAGGTGCAGAAGGGAGGAGGGTGGCTAAAGTCTCGAGAATAAGAAGCTTCAGGACGCGGACTCGTGATTTACTAAAAGAGACGAAGATTAGATGAAAGGAGATGGGAGGGGAAGGATTGGAAAAGAAAACGAAGATTACGCTGCACGAGCAAACCATTTCTGATTCATAGTGGATATCAGATGTGGGAATCGAACCCACCTCCCGTGCTACGCGTAATATACGAAATACTTCCTTACTATGAGTTGCAGAACAGAAGGTTAAGAATAGCAATCATATTGCAATGGCAGGGTAGGTCATAAGAAGGGATTCAGGTCTACGATCTGGCAATGAATGGTAGGGCAGCCCTTAACCCGGCCGGGCCCGGGGGGTAATCCCAACCACCGCAGCCCGGGGGGGGGCGTTTTTCGCCCCCCCCCCCCCTGTCCGTAAATAAATATAAACTCCGTTAATAAGGGAGCTACGGAAACAAAAGCGATACCAAACGAAAGGTCCTTACGAGACGATTCTAATGCACCTAAAACTTTTGACCTCAGGTCAATTTTCAAGGTCAGAGGTCAAGGTCAAAGGCCAAAACTGGCACATGTGTAGTGATCTCAAAGTAAGCCTTCTAGAGGACGGCAGGCTGCATCAAACCGGCAAAATTGAGTGTCAAACGAAAGAAGAGAATCTGAGGATTCTGAAAATGTGCTCCAAATCAAAAGTCAAGGTCAAGGTCACGCTCAAAAAAGACCTCAAACTTGGCACTTTTTCGCACATCTTGCGTGCTAACTTCCAAGATGTTTTGAAATGTTTTGAGGCTTATCAGTTCCCTATTTGTGGTTCATCTTACGATACAAGGCTGCTCAAAGGTCAAGGTCACAGAAGAGTATCCCTGCTAGAGGCTATTTCACTGATTCAAGTTAGTAATAATAAATAAGACAATTTTGCCATCCGGAAACTCTAAATGAAGGCTTAGAGGAAAATAGATGCCAGATTCGTGGTCAGCGGGTACAAATCCATCATAAACGACCTTTCATGTGTCAAGGCCAACCAGAGGTCATTCGAGGTCACATGAGGTCAACATGAAACTTGACCTTTTCCGAACAAAATATATATCATTCGACGCGGCTTGACAAGGCGAATGCGATGGTACCACTGCCGTAGCTCTAGGACCATTTTTGTCGAAGTTATTTGCGAAAAACTAAAACCACATTTCGGGGTCGTTGACCTGACTTCTGACCTCAGGTCACCAAAACTATTTTTCTATTTTTATCTAGGTCAAACGCTACACAGCCGTGCTCGTAATTTGTCTTTATCTCTAAAACTCTATTTTTAGCAGCTATTTGAAGTTTGCGTCTGTGACGCCGAAGTTTGCCGTGCAGGGGTCTAGAAAAATGGACCTTGTGACGTCATCAAGGGGGCTAGGTCCAAATTGTTTTCTTCAGAAGATGTCAAATTGATGGGAGAAAAGGTACTGAAAGTTTCGCCTTCCTATCCCTAAGCGTTCGGGAGTTATCGCAAATATTCGCCAGGGGGGCGAAAAACGCCCCTCCCCCCCCCCCCCCGGGCCCGCGAGGGTTAACCACCTTCATCGGCACGAAGCTTAAATACTTGAATACACAAATAATAATAAAAACAATGAGGTCATTTGTTTAAAGGTAGACTGCCACCATTTTTTCACAAAACGGTTTTCACTAGAGCTGAGCCACCTATGTCCCAGACTGAAGTCGGTTTTCCGAAATTCGAACCCGTTTGTGAGAAATCGGAGACCAAAGTTCAGTTTGATGCCATTTTTTTTAGTCCAAGAAAACCGACATCTCTACTGTCTATCGATAACTTTGAAACATGAATTTTCTTATCTTTTGGTAAATATATGTCAAAACTTTGATTGTTTCGAGATCAGAGAAGAATTTTGGAGTGTCAAAATAAAAGTTAAACTTATATATTCAGTAGTTCATTTTTTCCAAAAAAGTGTGGGAAATGGGGTTTAACATGGGCCAGACCCATTCCAAATGAGCCATGATTTTTAAATGTTTTACGAACTTAAATGCAAAATAAATTAAACATGGCCAATTTCTTATGAAATCATATATTAGTAAATCATAAAATACCTTACTTTTTCAAATAAAATGTAATAATCTTATGACCTTGAATTCTAGTGATGTGTAAACATTGTCGCTAGACATTAACCGATTGATAATTGTATGATAATCGACAATTTTTTCGCGATTCACGTGATGATACTTTGTCAGGTGAATTCTAAAATTTTGTTTTGTCCAGGGAATAAATCATAGGCCGATCTGAGAAAACTTTTTGAAGGTGGCAGTCTTCCTTTAACAATGATGAACACTGAAACATATGGCCTTTTGATCACATATGTTATTATCGTTGACATGACCCTAGTACTTTTTCACGAGTTCGAAGGTTTTTCGAACTTAGCTTAGCACTCATCGCAACGTGGCGTAGGAGCCGAAATAGAGGGTTTGTTTGCCCTCTCTTCCTCTCCTTCCTTCCCTTCTCGCTCTTCCCTTTACTCACTCACTCACTCTTCACACTCCTTCCCCGCCTCGATGTGCTGCGATCGAAGCGCCGACCTAACGCGGCTAAATGTAACTTTTGGGTTAGCCAACATTGAAGTTTAAACTACATTTGTTTTACCCACATTTACATACATCTTACAAAAGCTTGCTTCTAGGAAGCTGGTCAGTACCATAGCTTAATGTCACACTGGATAATTTATTTGTTAGTCAAACGTAGGTACAAGTCAATAACAAACGTTTGGAAATGCCGATATGGTATGTTTCACATTTGTATTTTAACTAAATTACAGATGACATCTAACTTTTTGGAAGGTAATTACTTGAGTACCTAGATCAGTCTTGCAAAACAATTGTTTTCTCACGTTTATTTTGATCTAACATTCGGAAGAGTGCAAAAACATTTTTACATATAAATTTATAGAACGTTCTTTTTGTGTTAAAATCCTAGGCGAGCAAATACTTTTAACCATCGATGAAATAATACTCTCATCCATGTTTTAACTTTTAATTGTCTTGAACCCTTAGTAATTCATTTGAACTGGAAGCATGTGTTCGATGCTTAGTTTAAAATTTTGGAAAATCAAAATAGGAACGGTAATCCGGTCGAGCCCTCACGACGTTTTTCAACCGTATTCCACATTACACACCGTAAAGACGGTATACGGAAACAAAACAGTATCAAACAAAAGACATCGGTAAGACAATTCCCAAGAACCAAAAGCTTTCGCCTCAGGTCGGTTAACACTGGTCAGTGGGCAGAAGTAAATGCCAGAGACAAGAAAAAACAGTTCGTAAATTATCTCGAGCGATATATTTAACCCGGCAGGCGGTGGGCCTCCCGGCCACCTTCCGCGCGGTGGGGGGGGGGGCATTTTTCGCCCCCCCCGTATCTCCGAAACTACTGGACGGATCCGGAAAATTTAAACGGCGTTCGATAGCCCTGTCAAATTTGTTGAAGGAAACCAAATTTCATTGACCTCGGGGTCACCGATGACGTCACAGGTCAGGTCAAAGATAAAATGTTTCACCGTTCACGGGGCTTCTAGGGAAAGCGCTATAACACCGAGTAAAACGCATTTTGTCGAAAATCAGCGATAAGGCGTCAGTTGTCTAGTACATATGTTGCTATTAGAGGTCACTGGTCATACCAGGTCAGGTCACAGGTCAGGTCACCAAAGGTCCCCAAGGGTCACCACATGAGCCCAACTTTACTAAGGTTATGCGATGCATGGTTTATGGCCAGTTTTTCATTTCCAACTCAATGGTGTTGGTTATAAGACCATCAGGTACGGTTTAGGTCGCTTTCTGGTGGAGGTCAGGTCAAGGTCAGGTCAAAAAAGGTCAAATTTCAAAGTTGATATTTTTGCATAAAATGGGTATTGATTCGATGCAGCTCGTCACGGGGAGTCTGATGGTGGTCTTTGTTTTGCGCTACAAGATCTAAAATTGCTAAAAATTGAGTTTGAAAATTTGACGTCATCAATTTTGAACAGTTTTTTCGCTATAACTTGGCCAAAAAAGGAGATATCGATCTCAAATTTGGTATGTAGATAGAAGGCTGTAGGGACTATCACATATATTCCGTTTTTTTCGAAATTCAAAAACTTTCTGAATTGTTCGGCTATTATATTCAAAAAATCTATTTTTTTTATTTTTGGGGGTCAAAATACAAAAAAAATCGGAAACCGAAATAGCAGTTTTGTAGCCCTCTTGATTTCCCATCTTTTATGTCTGAAACATTTTTCTGTATCTCTAAAGCTGTAGGCCTGACAGCTCTTCCCGCGAAACCTTTTTTTGGGTCGAAAATGGCAGAAATGACGTCACTCTGACGTCATTATCGGCCAACCTATCATAGCCTTTGGAAAAATGTTTGGTCACCATGTGCGCTAGCTACTCCCGGGAGGGTACTGAAAGTTTGCTGACGATCGGCGCAGCGGTTCTCGAGATATATCGAAAAACTGAAGGGGGGACAAAAAAATGCCCCCCCCCCACCGCCTGGAAGGTTAAAGGAATAACAGGAAAAATAATTGGTAAGAAAGGAAAGTAAGGGAGATATTTTTAAGATTTGGGGGATGTGGTCAAAGTTACCGATCAGTGTCAAAGTCACCATCAAAATTGATCTGAAACAGTGCTTTTTCTCTTGTGTTTTAGATAGTCACATGTTTTGAATTAAGCTTCGTGCATCCCGAGTTTGTCGCTAAGGGAATAATGCCAGGCCATTCTGAGGTGAAGTTCACGCAAGGACATTCCTGTTAGAGGCTAGGTCACCCATTTAGTTAGATCATATTTCAAAATCATCAAAGGTCATAAGTTAGGTTCAAGTTAAACCTGTCAAGTTCTGAACACTAAAGGTTAACTGTACTTGACATGACACATACGCTGGCACCAGAATCTTTGCTCTGCGAAAAGTTGTACCGATTACGAAAAACTAAAAACCCATCTTAAGTTCATCGCCCTGTCATTTGAGATAACCTGCTCAGCTGAGCCTTTAAGGTAATTTTTTGCCGTTTGGTTCTTCTCGTGAAGGGCCGCATAATCACATGTTTCAAGTACCAAGTTTCAATTGCCAACTTGTCGAAAATTCAGAGAGAACAGGTGGGGTTTAAAACAAATCGTCGATGTAGGCAGTTAAATGCATTGGAAGCGCAAAGTTATTTTGAAAATTGTATATGCTAAAGGAACTTGCAGTTACCAACTCGGTGCTTGCTGAAGACAGTAGTTTTCGAAGACTTTGTTTTGATCTATTGATATGATACTGTCTTTGATTGTTATTGCGTTGTTCAAGTGCCAGCTCTCTTTGACCCGTAACCTGGATTGCTGCATTTCTCCAAGTTTTGGTAGCACAGTTCAAATTCATACTTCGTACCCAATTGAATACGTGAATACGTATTCAGTTGGATACGCGGCATGAATATGAACTGCTGCTAAAATTTGAAGGAATGCAGCTGAACTAAATATATGATTGAGATGTGCGCGGCCCCGGACTTACTGGCCCGGGGCCTCATGAACATCACAACTTACACCCGACAATCCAAGGAACAATTCTGATCACCGCCGGCCGCAGGGGCGGTCGCCCCGCAGCGCGACCGCCCCCGGTTGCCGGGCGGAGACCAGAATTGAACCCTGGACTGCCGGGTGGAAGCCCGATGTTCACCAACCTCGCTGCCGAGGCGGCGAGGGACGATGGCCGGACCTCGGACCCGGTGCCACCTCGGTCGCTGCCCCTCCCTCCCTACCCCACTCCGCCGTGTGCCTGGCTCCGCCCCTGCCGCCCGACCTGCCCCCGGGCGGTGGCCGGTCGGCTGCGCGCTGTTGGCACCGAGGCATGGCGCGTCCGGATATGTCTGACAAGTGACACTTGCTATCGACATTACCGTTACATCCAAAGCGATGTTTGAAATTTATATTTAGTAAATGTGCTTTACAATTAATTCTATTCTCTAACATGTCGAGTCAGAGAATATACATCCCTGACATCCTTCCTTCTTCGGCAGGTCTTTGTCGACTGGCGCCGGTGTCCTCTGCAGTCCGGACGACCACAGACACCATCATCGCAGTGAAGAACATTGCAGCAGCGAGTTGGAATCGGAGAAGATCCGGTGGTGTCGCGCAACAGTCACTGGATGTGACTGATGGTATCCGAGGGGGGTAATCGGGGGAAGGCAGGTCTACCTGACTTCTCTCCTGGTTACCCCCCTCCCATGCTCGGGTGGTATGTGTTCTCCTAGACATACCACCCAAGCTCTTTATTGGGTGGGGAGGGGAACAGGGTGGTCCCCGGTGGACCACTCTTGTCGGGGACGTGTGGGTTGGGGGGGGGGGGGTGTTGGCCACCAGGTGGTGGCTACCGGAAACGGTAGTCGCCACCTGGCTGACCGCCCCCCCCCCCTCTCCCAACCCAAACGTCCGCGGCACTGGTCGGGGACGTGTCTGTTGGGGGGTTGTCAGCCACCGGCTGGTGCCTGGCCTCCCCCACCCAACATCGACGTCCACGACACAGGTCCACCGGGGGAACCCCTGTTACTCTCCCTCCCAGGAAAAAACTTGGGGGGGGGGGGGCGTGTAGGAGTTACACTGCGTGAGCCGTGATGTATATATCCGGCAGAAATAAACAATCAACGTGAGTCCAGCATGTATTCTTCTTCTTTTGTTAATGTCGTCTACCCCCTCCCCCAAACACACATGGCATGGGGGGTAATCCCCTCCCCCCTACAATACACATTGCAGGGGAGAGGATAATCAGGATGGAGGTCAGGCACGCCCACCTACCTTCCCACGATTACCCCCCCCCCCCATATACACGGCGGGGGGAGAGCTAATCAGGGGAGGGCAGGTTCACCTACCTTCCCCTGATTACCCCCCCCCCCCGCCATATACACGGCGGGGAGGGGATAATCAGGGGGAGGGCAGGTTCACCTACCTCCCCCTGATCACACCCCTCCCCCACACATGGTAGGGAGGGGATAATCGGGGAGGCAGGCACGCCTACCTCCCTCTGATTCCCTGATTCTGATTGATCTGATTCCCTCCCTCAAACCCCCCCCCCCCCTCTATACATTTCGAAGTGGTTCTTCTGTTCTCCGATTCACTCTTACTGCTCCTTGTTTTGAAGTTCTTCGCGTGCGAACAGCCTGCGGAAGAAGAAAAGACGTCAGGGATTATATTTTTGGTTAAATAAAGCATAGTCAAATACATTTAATGCACAGAGACTCAAAGACCCGGAATCACAAAGCTGTTTTAACCCGGCAGGCGGTGGGCCTACCGGCTACCTTCCGCGCGGTGGGGGGGGGGGGCATATTTTTGCCCCCCCCCCCGTATCTCCGAAACTACTAAACTACTAGACGATCCGTAAAATTCAAACGGCGTTGGATAGCCCTGTCACATTTGTCGAAGGAAACCAAATTTCATTGACCTCGGAGTCACCGATGACGTCACATGTCAGATCAAAGATAAAATGTTTCACCGTTCACGGGTCTTCTAGGGAATGCGCTATATTACCGATTAAAACGCATTTTGTCGAAAATCAGCGATAGGGCGTCAGTTGCCTAGTACATATGTTGCTATTAGAGGTCACTGATAATACCAGGTCAGGTCACCAAGGGTCAGCACATGAACCCAACTTTACTAAGGTTGTGCGATGCACGTTTTATAGCCAATTTTTCATTTGCAACTCGATGGTGTTGGTTATAATACCATCAGGTACGGTTTAGGTCACTTTTTGGTGGAGGTCAGGTCAAGGTGAGGTCGAAAAGGTCAAATTTCAAAGTTGATAGTTCTGCATAAAATGGGTATTGATTCGATGCAGCTCGTCACGGAGAGTCTAATGGTTGTCTTTGTTTTGCGCTACGAGGTCTAGAATTGCTAAAAATTGAGTTTGAAAATTTGACGTCATCAATTTTGAAAAGTTTTTTCGCTATAACTTGGCCAAAAAAAAGGTATCGATCTCAAATTTAGTATGAGGATAGAAAGCGGTAGGGACTAGCACATCTATTCCAGTTTTTTGAAATTAGAAAAATCCTTTTTTGGATTTTTCGGCTATTATATTCAAAAACCTATTTTTTATTTTTGGGGGTCAAAATCCAAACATTTCAAAAATTCGAGATAGCAGTTTTGTAGCCCTGTTAATTCTCCACCTTTTATGTCCGTAACATTTTTCTAAATCTCTACAAGTTGTAGGCCTGACAGCTCTTCTCGCGAAACTTTTTTTGGGTCGAAAATGGCAGAAGTGACGTCACTCCGACGTCATTAGCGGCCAACCTATCATAGCCTTTGGAAATATTTTTGGTCACAATGCGCAAAAGCTATTTACGGGAGGGTATTGAAAGTTTGGTGACGATTGGCGCAGCGGTTCTGGAGATATATATAAAAAAAACGAAAGGGAAGGGGAAATGCCCCTCCCCCACCGCCTGGAAGGTTTAAGTTTGACCCTAGCACTGTAAACGTCTCTGACCACAGCACACGATAAGTAATGTAGGCATAACTATTACTCGAAACACTGGTTAGCGTTCATTGCATTTCATAACCTTCGCCCCAGTGCAGTGGGGCGATCTTATATACATAGAGATGACACGCCTATGTTAAAGCACTTGATTTCGTGGCGATTCAGTGGGTCTTTTTAAGCAAGGTTTTCTGGGGTGCCATGGCCCGTGACTTGCATTTTGTAAGGATTCGGTCAAGGAGATTGTGCTCACATCCGCTTATTTTTAAGTACAGTTTTTCTTTTTTGTCTAGCTGTGACGCTTTCGAGCGTTATTATTGAAATGAAATTAGGCATGTTTTAACCTTATGCTCGTATCAGGTACTGCAAATATCATTAACCCTCGCCGTCCGACGGGGGGGGGGGGGGAGGGCGGGTGCCGCCTCCCTATAGGGTTTTTCACGATAGCTCCGAACACGCAGGCGATAGAGAGCTGAAACTTGGCATACATGACCTTTGATCCAAGCCGCATCTTGTGACACCGACCGCATTTTCAGGTCAGGTCAGGTCGCTGACCTGTGACGTCATAAGTGACCCTCTGCACAGTCCTCAGATGTCGCAACTTTGCAACGCCGTCAGTGCCAGAGGAACTTTCACAGGGAGATGAGACTTACAGGATGTAGTATCATCCAGAGGTCTCACAACTTGTACATATATCTCGGATTTTCCCTAAAAATCACATGAGGTCAGGTCGGCCACGTGACCTCACCATTAGGTATAAGTCAATGGGGAAAAATGAAAACTGCTATGTTAGCGCCGAGAACTATCTCAAACTGTCTCCTGCACATGAATCGTGATTTCTTGCACGCCTTGCAAGGTCCGATGCTTCACTTTTGCATTGTTGACATTGCGTGGCGTCATTTATGGTCACTTGGGTCATTGATTAACCCTCGCCCGTAAACGGTGTTTTGCCACCTTCGCCCATGCAGGGGGGGGGGGTTGGTGCGACCCCCCTGGCGTTTGAAAACGGAGCGTCGTAGAGCTTAGCGGAAAAGACCAACGGATTGCTCTCGACGAGATCTCGCGATTGGTGGTATATTTTTTGGTCCTAGATCAGCATTTGACCTACTTATGACCGGTCAAAGGTCAAATTTTCGGAAAAATCTAACTTTTTCAGATTTCCGCGCCGATTGCGGCAAAACGGTAAGAGATATCGACTTGAAACCTTCACTATCGTGATCCTTGATCAATTCTCTATCGTTTGGTGTGTATTTCGATGTCATAACTATAAAAATGATGCGTTGGGAGCATCGGAAGTCTGCAAGGTCATTTGTGCATTGGGTCACGTCAGGCGTGCGACGTCACTGACCTGACCCTGACCCAAAATGAACTACAAGAAACAACCGACGATGCCTGAAATGGATAGCAAATTCGAATTCAGGGCATCAAAATACCCCGAAAAGGCATACAAGTGCAAGAAGTCATTACAGGTCAACCGAGGTCACTGACCTTACCTTGACCTTTAGTAACCTTCAAAATGTCAACGGACATTGTGCCAATGTCAAATCAGCCAGTTATGATTCTAAAACAATCCATCAGTGTGTCAGGTCAGTCGGCATTTATACCAATGTGAAGCAATCTCCAATTTAGCGTAAATCTGGCCGGAGGTTGTTCCTTTTATGACATCATAACTCCGTGACCTGACATGACCTTGACAAAAAAAAATACCAAAAGTTGCGCAAAGGATGCCCCATAGGGTACTGAAAATTTGAGCCGGCTATCTGAAACGGTTCGGCGTGTAGCTAAGAAAAACCTCAGGGGGGGGGTTGCACCCCCCCCCCCCTACATGGGCGAGGGTTAAATGACCCAAATGATTAAAAGCGCGGTTTTGAGGCTCATAATTACATATATAACTGCAATGAAAACCGTAAGACGGTTTGACAAAAGTCAGTTTGTCAGTTTGGCCAAGATGTCTTATTTTCTTGGCCCTATTTTGAATATAATTATTAGCATGAGGCTTACGGTTTTCATTGCAGTTATATACTTGGGTCATTAGTTTTTCATCAATAACTCCCCATCAAATTGAGTTAGCTAGTCGGGAAAGCCACCAATAAACGCAGGAAGACCTGCCGATTCGAGTAATATGTAACATGACCTCTTTCAACCAGCTTCGTGATCTGGGGGAGCTGACCTGCCCTTGACCCGAGGTCAACACCTCAAGTTGACCTCACCCGAACAAAAAGTATACCATTCGACGCGCCTGAGCGAGGCGAACACGATGATGCCAAAATCGCGGCTCTCCGACCGTTTTTTTTTGCGAAGTTATGAAAAACTGAACCCTGGCCCTTGGTCACTTGACCTGACCTCATGAGACCTTAAAATCGGGTACCAGTCCCTGCGTCTTGTAACGGCGCACACGCTTGTTTTTTCCGCGACGGTCCAGCTTCATCAGGGGCGAAACGGCGAGGGAAATCGTACCCCCCCCCCCCCCGGCCGGCGCATATGTAGAAAACCAATAGGTCCGGCGAGGGTTAATGTATCATTGAATGGGAACATGCAAAATATGTATATTTGAGCTTGCACCGTGCTCAGAAAGGTTCAGAACAGCCGTTTTCACGACGGTTGACCGAAAGCGCCAAACTTGACCAAATCTCAAGGAACCTACCCTGAAAATTCCATGAGCCTGACCCAAATGACCTTAGACCTGTAACCTTTTTGGGGGGGGGGACCATGTCAGGGGGGCCATAAAACAATAAAACATGCATCGCACAACCCTAGTAAATAGTAAAGTTGGTTCATGTGCTGACCCTTGGTGACCTGACCTGTGACCTGACATGGTATTATCAGTGACGGTGTGACCTCTAATAGCAACATATATACTAGGCAACGTAGGTACGCCCTATTTTTAACGTACGCGAAACATTTTATCTTTGACCTGACCTGTGACGTCATCGGTGACCCCGAGGTCAGTGAAATTGGAGTTCCGTCGACAAATTTGACAGGGCTATCGAACATCGTTTGAATGTTACGGATCCGTCCAGTAGTTTCGGAGATACGGGAGGGGGGCAAAAAAATGCCCCCTCCCCCCACCGCGCGGAAGGTGGCCGGGAGGTCCACCGCCTGCCGGGTTGATGAGAGCCTGAATGAGAGAGAATGTTTTTAGGCGAGCTTTTAAGGAATTCAATAAAAACACAAAATGAAATCATGCTACAAATTTCATTGCTTACCTCAGGAATGAAATCAGCCAGGAAAGAACAGCAATATTTTTAACCAGTTAACGCCTTTTGGGGCGACCAACGGAGCGAGCGAGAGGGTGGGCCTTGGACAAGCGAATTTGCAAGGGACACCTCCAACTAACTTGTGCACTGCACCCTACTAACCGGTCCCTAGCGATGTGCCAAATTTGAGCGCAATCGGCCTAGCCGTTTTCGAGATCTGGAAGCGGCACCCTGCACGTGCGCACGTGCAGCAGCACCCCAACTGTGGCACATGGATGTGCCTACCTACATACCAACTTTCAGCGCAATCGGCCAAGTAGTTACCAAGATATTGCAACAATTGCAAAACTGACACCTCTTCGTTTTGCACGTGGCACGTGCATAAGCGGTCACCCACATGCATCGAGAATAGTCCAATACTTGGTAGAAGGAATGAAGCTACCCTAGAAAAATCATCGAATGTAAATCGGTCAAGTGGTTGCTGAGATATAAGCCT